AAAGGTCAATACTTATTAAAGGTTATCAAACAGCTGATTTTATACTAGCTATAGAGTTCTGGTATGGTGCTGTAGGAAAAGCACTGGGCCACACTGTCCATTTGAATTGCAAGGTCAGTGTTCAAACTCACCCAATGCGCCTCACAAACCATATGCAGGGTTGCTATGAGTCAGAATAGACTCAATGGAACTTAACAACAGCATGGCTATTTGACAGTGAATTTTCACATATTTAGACAGGGAGTTTAAGAGTGGTTAGAGCTGGGAATCTAGACAAATAGCAGACTTGAGTTCAACTCCCATTTTGACCCTATCTGTTCTCTCTGATCTCAGTAAAAAATAAATGTCTTTAAGTATGTATTAATTCAGCTATTGTTGTTGTTGTTGTTAAGTGCCATTGAGTCAGTTTCGACCCATAGGGTTTCCCTGGATAGGGTTTCCAAGGAGCAGCTGGTGAGCTTGAACTGCCAACGTTGCAGTCAAACGGCTTTGCAGACTGGCTCATTAACCCACAGCGCTATAGCTATAGCATGATACAATTAATAGTTATTATTCAGAGTATTTTCTGAAAGAGATAAAACACACATTAATTTAGTACTAAGTCAAATTAAACTGTTATTCATGTGAGAAACTCTGGTAGCATAGTGGCTACAAATCGGGCTGTAAACTGCAAGGTCAGCAGTTCGAAACTACCAGCTATTCTACCAGAGAATGATGAGGCTTTCTGCTCCCGTAAAGATTTACAACCTCGGAAACCCTGTACAGGGTTGCTATGAGTCGGAACCGACTCCACGGCACATAACAACAACAACAACAACAGTATACCAGTAGAAGTAAACAAAGCAAAGCTTCGGTTCTCTTTGAGCTTACATCTTAGTAAGACTGCTAACTAAAAGTAGGAAGATCACTGTTCTGGGAAGTCAGGTGACCTAACTCAGTATATGACCTCTACCTATTGAGTGTCCTCTCCTGAGTCTTTATTTTCTTTTCTATAGAAGTCTGAGCTCTCCCAGAATCATTACCCTTTTGTTCTATGGTATCATCTCATGGACTCTGCATTGCAATTGAAGATGTGGCCATGGTTGACCATCTCTTATTCTATCATCAGTAATAATTTTACAGATTGTAATTCACACACTCTCAAATTGTTTCTGGACTCCTGTGAGTTGAGCAACATTTATGAGCTACCTGGACAAGCTTAGACTTTGAATACAGGGAGATCCAAGGAGGAAGGAGGAGGTGGGTGAAGACTTGGTATATGTCTAAGGTTAGACGTTATACATGGCCAATAAGGTTAAATAAACAACAACAAAATTAGCAAAAATATCAAAGAAAGAAAAGAGACAGTAAAGGAAAATAATATTAAAGAACATCTGGGGCATTAATCATTGTCCTAGAAAAACAAGTTTATTTACAAAGATGAACAAAGTGCTTCTCCCACCTTTTGTTGTTGTTAGGTGCTATCAAGACTCATAGTGACCCTGTGCACAACAGAATGAAACACTGCCTGGTCCTAGGCCAACCTCACAACTTTTGCCATGCTTGACCCCATTCATGCTGTCACTTTGCCAATCCATCTCAGGTGTGTGGGGGAGGGGTTCTTCCTCTTTTTCTTTGACCCTCCACCTTTTCAAACATGATATCCTTCTCCAACGACTGGATCCTAATGACATGGAGCACTCTGGCTGCACCTCTTTCAACACAGATTTGTTTGTTCTTTTGGCAGCCCATGGCACTTTCAACACCATAACTCAAATGCATCAATTCTTCTACAGTCTTCCTTATTCACTGCCCAGTGTTTGCATGCATATGAGGTTATTGAAAATACCATGGCTTGGGTCAGGTGCACCGTAGTCCTCAAGCTAATATCTTTGCTCTTCAACACTTAACAAGGTCTTGTGCAGCAGATTTGCCTAATGCAATATATCATTTGATTTCTTGACTGCTGCTTCTGTAAGTGTTGATAGTTGACCCAAGAAGAATGAAGTCCTTGACAACTTCAATCTTTTCTCCATTGATAAGAATGTTGTTTATTGGTCCAGTGGTGAGGATTTTTGTTTTATTTCTAGTCTTTTTCTGTGTCTGCAGGTGGTTGTATTGACAACCAATAGAAAAATCTCAAGATGGCCACACCACTCCAGGTCAACTTGCATTCTACCCATTTTCCTTCTCAGTTCAGCCCTCTGAAGCTCAGGATTTCAGAATCACCATTTGCATCTGTTTCTCTTCTTCTCCCATGTCTTTGTTGCAGAGGGACTACTTAGCACACCTATCTGCTCCACCATCTTGCTCCAGAACTTTTCACCTCTTAGCCTTTCATTGTCATTGTTTTTAAATGTTGTCCAGTTGGTTCCAACTCATAGCCCTTAAACTTTATGGGGTTTCCAAAGAGTGGTTGGTGAGTTTTAACAGCAGAACTTTCGGTTCAAACCAACCTTGAGGTTGAGTACTTACCCTATGATTAGTGCCACACTAGGATAACAATAGATTCTAGAACCCAAGGAGACCTGTTGTATAGGTGAAAAGTTCCCAACAAGAACTGTGTTTCTTTTTTTTTTGCTTATTTACTATTTTTTTGTGCAGTACAGCACAGATATATAGTCAAATATTACAACAAAATGTGCAAATATCTGGAATCAGAAAACCAAAAAGGAAGAACTCGCTCAGCATTTCTCAAGCTGGGGGAACTAAAGAAAAAATTCAAGCCTCAACTTTCATTATTGAAAGATTCCCTGGGAAAATTATTGAATGATGCAGAAAGCATCAACAGAACATGGAAAGAATACACAGAGTCACTGTACCAAAAGGAAATGGTTAATGTTCAACCATTTCAAGAGGTAGCATATGATCAAGAGCCAATGAGAATGAAAGACGAAGTCCAAGGTGCACTGAAGGAATTGGCAAAGAACAAGATACCAGGAATTGATGGAATAAAAATTGAAATCTTTCAAGAAAGTAAGGTGGCACTGGAGGCACTCACTCATCTCTGCCAAGAAATTTGGAAGACAACTTATCTGGCTGACTGATTGGAAGAGATCCTTATTTGTGCCCATTCCAAAGAGAGGTGACCCAATGGAATATGGAAATCATCAAACAATCTCTTTGATATCCCATGTGAGTAAAGTTTTGCTAAAGGTAATACAGAAATGGCTACAATCATACATTGACAGAGAACTTCCAGAGGTTCAAGCTGGATTCAGAAGAGGCCGTGAAACGAGGGATAGATATAATTGCTGATGTCCGATGGATCTTGGCTGAAAGCAGAGAATATCAGAAAGATATTTACATGTGCTTTATTGACTATGCAAAGGCTTTCGATTGTGTGGATCATGACAAGCTATGGACAACATTGCGAAGTATGAATATTCCAGGACATTTAATTGTGCTCATGAGGAATCTGTACCTGGACCAAGAAGCAGTTGTTCAAACAGAACATGGGAACACTGAATGGTTTAAAATTAAAAAACGTGTACGACAGGGTTGTATTCTTTCACTGTACTTATTCAATCTGTATACTGAGCAAATAATCTGAGAAGCTGGATTATATGAAGAAAAACATGGCATCAGGATTGGAGGAAGACTCATTAACAACCTGTCATATGCAGATGATACAACCTTGCTTGCTGAAAGTGAAGAGGACTTAAAACATTTACTGATGAAGATCAAAGACCACAACCTTCAGTATGGATTACATCTCAATGTCAAGAAAACAAAAATCCTCACCACTGGACCAATAAACAATAGTCTTAGCAATAGAGAAAAGATTGAAGTTGTCAAGGACTTCATTCTTCTTGGATTAACCATCAACACTCATGGAAGCAGCAGTCAAGAAATCAAACGACATATTGAATTAGGTAAATCTTCTGCACAAGACCTTTTTAAAGTGTTGAAGAGCAAAGATGTCAGTTTGAGGAGTAAGGTGTGCCTGACCCAAGCCATGGTATTTTCAATAACCTTATATGCATGTGAAAGCTGAACAGTGAATAAGGAAGACCGTAGAAGAGTTGATGCTTTCGAGTTATGGTGTTGGAGGAGAATTTTGAAAATGTCATGGGCTGCCAAAAGAACCAATAGGTCCGTTTTGGAAGAGGTGCAGTCAGAGTGTTCCTTCGGATATATTGTCAGATGGGACAAGTCACTGGAGAAGGATATCATGTTTTTTAAGGTGAAGGGTCAGAGAAAAAGAGGAAGACTCCCAATGTGATGGATTGGCCAAATGGTAGCATTGATGGACTCAAGCATGGCAACGGTAGTGAGGTTGGCCCAGGATCAGGCATTGTTTCGTTCTGCTGTTCATAAGGTTGCTATGGGTCGGTACTGACTAGATGGTACCTAACAACAACAACAACAACAGCACAACTACTATTGAAAGACAGTGGCACAGGGAGAGAATCTGAGTTCTGCCTTCTCTCATGCTATTTCTTGAAAATAGTTCCCCTTGATTGACTCAAACAAAAACACATAATTCAAATGAGACTGGTTAAGGTAGTCCAGAAAAGTCAGGGCAAATTTAAAAGGTTAAAGAATATCCAATGCATTCTGCTTAACCCTTAGGAGTTGCATGACCTTAACAGCAATTCTATGTCTCAGTTTTCTGATTGAAATATAAGACTATTTCCATGTCTCTCAAAAAAGTGTTGAGAGGAACCAGGTGTGCAACAACCTCTGGAAGAACTGGGCGGTTGTAAACCAATGTCATCCACTCAATTCCAACTCATAGACACCCGATATAGTGTTTCTGACACTAAATCTTTACAAAGAAGATAGCCTCATCTTTCTCCCATGGAGCAACAGATAGGTTTGAAACACTAACTTTATGGTTAGCATCTGAATATCTAACCCATAACGCAACCAGGGCTTCTTTATACAGTTCTAAGTTTGCTTAATTCTTTATTTTTTATTTTATTTTTCTTTGTTTATGCCCATTTATAATCACTGTCATTTCCTCTATTCATTTCAGGATTTTGGAGTCAATCCAACTCCCATAGCCTCCAGACACAATGGCACTGAGATCCCTGGGAAATAGCAGCAGTATTCCGTATGCCTTCCTGCTGAGTGGCATTCCTGGGCTGGAGCACATGCATATCTGGATCTCCATTCCCTTGTGCTTTATGTACCTGATTTCTATCCTGGGTAACTGCATGATTCTCTTTATTATTAAAACAGAACCCTCACTCCACGAGCCTATGTACCTCTTCCTATCCATGCTGGCTCTGACTGATCTAGGCCTTTCCCTTTGTACCCTTCCAACAGTGCTGGGTATCTTTTGGATGGAGGCACGAGAAATTGGTCATGATGCCTGTTTTGCCCAACTCTTTTTCATTCACTGCTTGTCCTTCCTGGAGTCCTCTGTGCTACTGTCAATGGCCTTTGACCGCTTTGTGGCCATTTGCCGTCCCTTGCACTATGCATCCATCCTTACAAATACAGCTATTGGAAGAATTGGCCTGGCTTCCCTGGGCCGCAGTGTAGCACTCATTTTCCCATTGCCTTTTATGCTCAAGAGATTCCCTTACTGTGGTTCCTCAGTCCTCTCCCATTCCTATTGTCTCCACCAGGAAGTAATGAAATTGGCCTGTGCAGACATCAAGGCCAACAGCATCTATGGCATGTTTGTCATTGTTTTCACAGTGGGTGTAGACTCACTACTCATCCTCTTCTCCTATGCCCTGATCCTACGCACTGTATTGTCCATTGCTTCCAGGGCTGAGAGACTTAAAGCTCTCAATACCTGTGTCTCACACATCTGTGCAGTGCTTCTCTTTTATACTCCAATGATAGGCTTGTCTGTCATCCACCGCTTTGGGAAGCAGGCACCCCATGCAGTCCAGGTGGTCATGGGTTTCGTTTATCTTCTAGTCCCTCCCCTGATGAACCCCATTGTTTACAGTGTGAAGACTAAACAGATCCGAGATCGGGTAACCCGAGCCTTTTGTTGCTAGTTGGTTCTGATCTTAGAGGCAGGATTTCCTTTATAATATCTAACCTGCATGAAATGGTTTTTGTTGTTAAGGGCTGTTGAGTCAATTCTGACCCATAGCGACCCTGTATAGGGTTTCCAAGGAACAGCTGGTAAGCTTGAACCACCGACTTTGCAGTTCAAATGGCTTTGCCATCTGGCGCATTAACCCACATCGCCACACCAGGACTCCAGCACTGCTATTTAGTTACTCAAAAAATATATATACTGCGATGAACAAAATGCAATTATAATTCTCCTGGAACTATCAACTTGGCAGGGAGAAAATACTATATAGTGTGATGTAGCAGACTGTATTTTCCTAAAATGACCACAGAAATATTTTTGAATTCACGTATTCCAGAGTTTTGTCACTCCCTGTTAAGGATTCTAGTCCTTCCTACTTGTAATTGGGTAGGACTTTGTACCTTCTTCAGGGAATCGAAGGGTGTAGAAGTGCCTCTGTAAAATGGATGATTGCTATATGACCATGTGATATTGAAGAAGGTTAAGAGAGAGAAGTGCAATATTGTCAACATCTCAAGGTTACAGTCTGAGATGAAAGTCCCATTTTCTAGCAAGGGGAAATACAACTGATCAGTAGTAACCATGAGAAGTAGTTAGAAATGCCATGCAGTATCTGGAGTCAAGAACTTGAATCTAAGGTTATGATTGCTAAGCAAGATTACTCACTTTACCTTTCTCAGAAAGTCTACATTTTAAGGTACAAACACAAATCAGTATAGAAGTTTGCAGTAAGGCAAATGACTGAAGCAAAGCTTGTCAAAGATGAAGAACAAGAATGTGGCAAACTCTAGCTTAAGGGAATGGCTACTTAGCTCCAGATTACTGGGATTTACAAATGTAATGATTGTTAAAAGAGAAAATAAACGCCCAGAATCTTATTTGAAATCTCATCAGTTTGTTTGTTTGTTTTGTTTATTTTCAGAAATATTCCCTGGAGTCTTTCTTTTAAAAA